TTACTGCTATGAGGATTTGTTTATGACTGGCTACCCCACCATCCTGTAACCTTGTTGAGGGCAACAGTGATGTTCATGTTGATGATTACTGGGTGCTCAGTACTTAGCACAGAACTAGGCATGTAATACATGCTCAGTAAATATTTGTTAAAGGATGAATGAACTTTCAAATCATGCAGGCCCATACATAAGAATTGCCTCATTCCAATGGTTCTAACCTGATAGTATAGGATCCCTACCTGGAGGCAGGTAGCCATTGTCATTGGCTAGGGATGACCCCAAATGGTCCAATCATCTCCTTTATAATCCGTTTATGTATGCCATTCATTGTTCCATCAATAGTAACTTTATCTTCAAGTCATTTCATCTTGTTTAATTATAGCTGTTAGTATAACAAGGTTCTATATGTTAACCATCTTCTCTGTGTTCTCTTTAATTTTTCCTGTATCAACTTTCTTTACAGTTTTGTGCAGGAGCACAAAAGTTAGTCAGCAAAAGCATTACTTTTCTTCATGCTGATGCTCTGGAAAATATTATGCCCTAAAGAGAGATGTTAACTGCCCTTTCTGATTCCATCACTCCAATTAATGCTATAGAAACAGTACTTTTTATTCTGTGTCAGCATTCTTAACTTTGTTTACCTCCCGAAATTGTATGCGTATTTTAAATTGGTTTATGTACATGTGTATTCTTCTGGAATGGACCTATATTTTATTAGCTCCTCTGAGAAGTCAAAGACACACCCCCCCAAAGTGCCCTGAGCTTTGTTTTGTATCTTTCTTTATTTCTCCCTATGGGTGAGCAAATTCACAAAGTTGATTGTGTCCTTTCTCTAAACTACTTGTGTTATGACACCAAGATGCTTCTTAACCTGTTTTCAAATGAACTTGGTAAACAAGCCCTCAGGTTAGCAGAGGCATTCTGAACCATATGAATAATAAATACATTATGAAATATCCTGTTTGAAAAAAGAAGCATCTGAAATAATTATGCATGCATTTAGCTACTCACTTTTGTTCTTATTAATGTCATTAATATTACTTACTGTTTCTCATTACTTTTCTGCATGACCTGATTGTGGTCAATCTGGCCTTAGGGACTATGTCCAGTGTTAGCTGTAGAAACCACCACCACAAATTTTTTTTAAACTCCAAACATGACTAAGAACAAGGCTTGGATTTAGGGCCTAAAAATAATTCAGTTGGAATGTGAAGAAAAAATTAAGAAGGCATTATACAACCAGCCTTCAGCACAGTCGTACTTCTGTATATATGATATCAGGATACACAAATTTATTACAATGCTTTGGGGTTTATTTACAATATGACCTTTTGCAATTCTTGGGCACAAAATATATGGGTTTTTATTAACCAGAATTTCTTTATTTCTCTCTCTGTTCTCTTGCCAGTGAGATTTTAAAGATGTTTCTTCCTTCACTTCCTTCCTTTCTTCCTGGTACTCAGTGAGAATCTATAATCACTGTAACTTGAATGGATGACACCCCACGTTAACAAATCAGCAGGAGCAGAACTCCCGCTGGGGGTTTCCTTCTGGATCTGACCATTTAACTGAAAACGCATTCTAGCAATATTATTTTTTCTTCTATGATGATTAGATGCCAACATTTGGCAAATTTTATATCTTTTTTCGAATTATATCCCACGGCGCCTCTCCTTCTCTCTCCCCCCCCCCCCCCCCCCCCCCCCCCCCCCCCCCCCCCCCCCTCC